CCAGAGCCCAGCAGGTGGAGGTTGCGGTGGCCGGGAGCGGCCACTGCACTCCAGTTTAGGCGACAGATTGAGACTCCAACTAAAAAAAAAAAAAAAAAAAAAAAGATACAGGTGAGGAGAGGTGTCATACACATGGAAATGCACTTTTTTGTGGGTCTGCAGTACCCGTAAAAACATGCCAGCTGGTCAGGTGCAGTGGCTCATGCCTGTAATCCCAGCACTTTGGGAGGCCAAGGTGGGAGGATTGCTTGAGCCCAGGAGTTGGAGGACAGCCTGAGTAACATACAGAGACCGTATCCCTCCAATAAGTAAAAAATTAGCCAGGTGTGGTGGCACGAGCCTGAAGTCCCAGTTGCTCAGGAGGCTGAGGTAGAAGGATTGCTTGAGCCCAGGAGGTCGAGGCTGTGGTGAGCTGGATTCGGAATGGAACTAGTACAATTTACCTGAGCTACATGAAAGAAAGCCAGGTATGGTAGGTCAAAAATTTTGTTACAGAGAAATCCACACTGACTTATGCAAAAATTACTTACATAGAAAAGAAAAAGCCAGGTGTGGTGGCTCATGCCTATAATCACAGCACTTTGGGAGGCAGAGGCGAGAGGACTGCCTGAGCCCAGGGGTTTGAGAAACGTGTCTTTCATCTTTAACAGCAGGTAGATCATAATGCCAAACCACAGCATATGACTTAAGTTACTAAAGAACTGGACCCGAACACTGGCCATTACTGAGAAGACAGAGAGGTATGGGACTCCAGTAGCTGAAACACTCCTGGAAGCACCTCATTAGGGCCAGAAGGGGTAGTAAGTCTAGAGAAGAGACTCTGGCTTGTGGGCTACCATTTCTGAAGGTTGCGCTCCTCTCTCCAGCCCACGCCTGCTACATCCACTCACGTTGGTGCTCTGAGCTTTACAGTGGGAGGCCTGTCTTTCACCAAAGTAACAGATGGTAGGGTGGGCAGGTGTCTCTGGCAAGGATTATAAATTTCTTCAAACGGGTTCATGCCTACATAAAGGGTTGATCCTGAAATTAGGAGTGTTTAGGATTAATGAGCTGCCTAGTTGGAATTTATTGAAGATATAGGAAATTGAATTCTTATTGACAGATGACAACATGTGGACTAGGGCAGTTGCTTCTCACCCAAAAACAAATTATTTTCACTGTCAGAGTGAGTGATACCGTCTTCTCAGCTACTGATGGCATTTTGTCTGTGTTAGCCACAGGAACTCTTTCGAAGAGTTCAAATACAGCCACAGCTACATCTATAGTTTTATCCTTCCAGCATCCTTCTTCTGGTTTCTACCTCCTGCCCTGTTTTTCCTTTGGGAAATCTTTTAAAAGCAGGTCTTAGTGGGGATTCAATTACAAGATGATCTAGTCCTGGCCTATCAGAGTATGCCATCATCTGCCTGGCCATGGTGATTGGTTTGGCAAGACATGTGACCAAGATGGAACAATCAGTCTTTTTGGGGACTTTTCGACATCTGGGCTAAGACGGAATACTGCTTTAAAAAAACAAAAAACAAAAAACGAAAAAACGGCCAGCCTCCCACATGCTCTGCTGCCTCTACCCTCTTGCCTGGAACTCCAGCTGCTGGCAGTTGCTCCTGCTACCCCATGGGCTGGGCCAAGCGTGCCCAGGGCTGTATCTGCAAAGGGGCACCAGACAAGTGCAGCTGCTGTGCCTGATATCGGGAGACCCCGATCCCAGGTAGACACAGAATGACATGTACAAACCTGGTGGTGGTTGTTTTTTTGTTTTTGAATTGGAGTTTCACTCTGTTGCCCAGACTACAGTGCAGTGGCCACTCCCGGCCACCGCAGCCTCGACCTGCTGGACTCCGGCGATCCTTCCGCTTCAGCCTTCCAGGTAGCTGGAACTATAGGCATGCACTACCATGCCTGGCTGATTTTTGATATATTGTAGAGGTGAGGTCTCGCCAAGTTGCCCAGGCGGGTCTCGAACCTGCGGGCTCAGGCAATCCACACATCTCAGCCTCCAAGGCGCGGGATTACAGGCTGAGCCACCGAGTCCGACTGGTCGCTGTTTTTATACTACCCTGATCCATTGGCTTCATTTTTTAAAAAATGAACTATGTGACTGATAATAAAAGATGCTGACTTTAAAAAAATTGTTTACAATAAAATTTAAACACATGCAAAAGAAGGGAGAATAACATAAGTACTCAACACATAGCTCCAACATTTATCAACTCATGGACAATCTTGGAAAAGGATAAACTGTCTTTTTATACTGAGACTGTTGGTCCTAGAGGATGATGTTGCCAAGACATCACGTCTATCAGCAGAGAGAGTCTGACTTCAGAATAAACCCAAACAGAAAGTGGAACTGAGACAGGGCCCTGAGGACCCTATTTGAGCTCCTTAATCCAGCTGAGCCTGAACCCCCTGCTACCCTGTGCTTTTTTTTTTTGCTTAAGCCAGAATTAGGTGGCCATTTAATATGAAAACCATAATACCCCATAAATACTTTTAAAATCTTGTGTTTATTTTTAAAATATATGGAAAATAAAAATTTTACAGAAAATTCTTAAGGGAATAAAAGAAAGGGAAAAGTCTAGACATATTAAAACAAAATCATTAGCTTTTTTTTTTTTTTTTTTTTTTGAGTTGGAGCCTTATTCTGTTGCCCAGGCTGGAGGACAGTGGCACACTCATGGCCACCACAGCTTCGAGTGCTGGGCTCAGGTGATCCTTCCGATTCAGCCTTCCAGGTAGCTGGAACCATAGGCACGTGCCACCACACCTGGCTAATTTTTTTGATTTATTGTAGAGATGAGGTCTCGCCATGCTGCTGGGGCTGGTCTGGAACCCGTAGGCTCAGGCAATCCTCTTGCCTCTGTCTCCCGAAGTGCTGGCATTACAGGTGTGAGCCACTGTGCCCAGCAATCATCAGCATTTTAATTTCATTCTGCCCAAAGGATAATTCCATTCCTATCCGGGACAACCATCTGCTAAAAATTTTAAGCTAAGTAACATAAAATCATTAAGAAATGTAGCAAAAACAAATCATTTCACCCCTAAAAATCAAGAAAAATTATCAAGTGCCCAAACCCACATATAATCAGATTCTGAATTATACTCAAAGCAAAGAATGAATGAATGCAATCACTCCTACATTAGCATTCTTTTTTTTTTTTTTTTTGAGTCGAAGTATCACTTTGTCGCCCAGGCTGGAATGCAGTGGCACGCTCATGACCACCGCAGTCTCAACCTGCTGGGCTCAGGGGATCCTTATGCCTCAGCCTTCCAAGTAGCTGGAACTACAGCTGTCCGACTAATTTTTCTTGATTTATTGTAGAGACGAGGTCTCATCAAGTTGCCCAGGTTGGTCTCAAATCCCTAGGTTCAGTCAATCCTCCCACCTGGACCTCCCAAAGTGCTGGGATGACAGGCTTGAGCTACCACGCCTAGCCACATTTAGCATTCTGATGTTCCCTTCTTGGGTACATAGTGAACTAGTTTCCTGGCTGTTCACCCTCAACCATCCAATTTGACAGCACAATACTTACACTTTTGCTTTGTTAGTTCTTGTATTAGATCTTCATACACTTGTGAAAAGAGGTCCTCTTTAGATTTTGTTCCATCTAGGTAAACTAAGACAGGGAAAAGAGGGTAGCTCAGATACCAACAGGGTGTTGTTTTTTTTTTTTTGAGTTGGAGTCTCACTCTGTCACCCAAGCTGGAGTGCAGTGGCACACTCACAGCCTCGACCTGCTGGGCTCCGGCGATCCTTCCGCCTCAGCCTTCCAAGTCGCTGGAGCCACAGGCACTTGCCACCACGCTTGGCTAATTTTTTTATTTATTGTAGAGATGAAGTCTCGCCAAGTTGCCCAGGCAGGTCTCAAACCCCTGAGTTCAGGAAATGCTCGCACTTTGGCTTCCCAAAGTACTGGGATTACAGGTTTAAACCACCATACCCGGTCTACCAACAGGCTTATTAATACAGGATATTTGCTCTGGCACCCACATCTCTCACAATTGCCAAAAATCCCAGGATCACAACTTGAAAAGAAATTAAGAGCAATTAAAGAAAGAATTAGATCATAGCCAGGTATGATAGGTCAAAAGTTTTGTTACAGAGAAATCCACACTGACTTATGTGAGAATTACTTAGACAGAAAAGAAAAAGCTGGCTGTGGTGGCTCATGCTTGTAATCCCAGCCCTTTGGGAGGTGGAGGCGATAGGATTGCCTGAGCCCAGGGGCTCAAGACCAGCTTGGGCAACATAGTGAGTCTTCATCTCTACAAAAAATGAGTTGGGCATGGTGGTGTGTGCCTATAGTTCCAGTTACTTAGAAAGCTGAGGCAAGAATTGCCTGAGCCCAGAAGGTCAAGGCTGTGATGGTCATGAGCATGCCACTGCACTCCAGCCTGGGTGACAGAGTGACTCCAATTCAAAAAAAAAAAAAAGGAGAAACAAGGGAGAGAGTTAAGTGGCACGGTGCATATGGCACTTTAGAAGCACTGGTGCCTGCCCCAAAGAATCACTTAAGGCAGGAATTCTCCAAGGTACTTATACATCAGGGGTACCTGTGAAGCTTCTTAAACCATGCAGAGTCTGAGCTCTGCCACACATGTACTGGATCCAAATTCACCAGACTCAGAAGAGTTCTTTTTTTAGTTCGGGTCTCACTCTGTTGCCCTGGGCTCAAGCCACTTTCCTGCCTCAGCATCCTGAGTAGCTTTGACTACAGGCACGTGCCACTGCACCCAGCTAATTTTTTTATTTTCTGTAGAGACTAGATCTCACTATGCTGTTCAGGCTGGTCTCAAGTTCCTGGACTCAGGCAATCCTCCCAACTTGGCTTTCTAAAGTGCCAGGATTACAGGCATGAACGACTGTGCCCAACCCAAGATATGTATTTTAAACGTAACTGGCACAAGCAACTTTAGAGAAGAAATTGTCTAAGTTAAAGGATAGAAAGGGCATTCTAGTCAGAAAACAGAACAGGGAGGGAAGGATAAGAGAACTTTGCCTGTTAAGATAAAGATACACTGTGTGGAATGGGGAGGCAGGACCTGTGTGAGAGGTGAGATTTTATTTTATTTTATTATTATTATTATTTTTGAGTCAGAGTCTCACCCTGTCACCCAAGGTGGAGTGCAGTGGCACAATCACAGGTACCACAGCCTCGACCTGCCAGGCTCAGGTGATCCTTCCGCCTTAGCCTTCCAAGTAGCTGGAACCACAGGCGTGTAACACCACGCCCAGCTTATTTTTCACTTATTGTAGAGACAAGGTCTTGCCAAGTTGTCCAAAGCTGGTCTCAAAGCCCAGGACTCAGGCAATCCTGTTGTCTCCACCTCCCAAAAGGCTGGGATTACAGGCATGAGCTACCACACGCCACCAAGAGGTGAGATTTTAGAGCAAGGTTGGGTCTTCGTCTTTAGAAGCCTTGATGTTGGGCTGTTTGGAGATAATTCCAAAGACCTGGAGACCATGGAAGGTGTTCAAACAGGGCAAGGGCATGGTTAGATTTGCATTTTTGGTGAAAAGGGAGAGAAGGGTAACAAGAGGATGTCCCTCCAATCAAAGATCCAAGCTAAGAGCCTTAGCCTCAGCCCTGGGGATGAGCTCTGTGTCGTTCTGCACAGTTCTGACACAACTCCCTTCCTGGAGACCAACAATATCAAGGCCCCATTATTGTGAAAAGTGTCAGTTCTGACTACTCTGCCTTACCCAACAGCTTTCTGCCATCATTTCCGCCTCGAGTTCCACAGTCCAGCAACTGTTCTGAGCTCAGGTCCACAGGACCCAGAAGCTCACCTCCAAATGGCTACATTCTGTCTCTCAGGCACCTCAACCTCATATGCAAAGCAGACTTGCATTCCTTCCTGACAAATCTGCAATGCCTTCACGTTTTTCTGTTTTCTAAAATAACACCTGCCAGTTGCTGAGGTGTCTGTTATTTTTCTGCTTCCCCAAAAGCTATTCTATCATCCAGTTCTACTGAGTGCAAGCGTCCAACATCATACCCACTAAATCCATCCTCCACACAGACAGAAAGATCTTACTGAATAAGAACTTGTATCGATCGTAACCTTTTTAAAAACCTCTCTGCAGACCAGGCGTGGTGGCTCATACCTGCAATACAAGCACTTTGGGAGGCAGAGGGGAGAGGATTACCTGAGTCCAGGAGTTCAAGCCCAGTCTGGGCAACTTGGCAAGACCTCATCTCTACAATAAATCAAAAAGTTAGCCAGGCAGGGTGGTGCACACCTGCAGTTCCAGCTGCTTGGAAGGCTGAGGTGGAAGGTTTACCTGAGCCAGTGGGCCGAGGCTGTGGTGGCCATGAGCATGCCACTGCACTTCAGCTTGGCAACAGAATGAGACTTCTAGTAAAAACAAAACAAAACAAACCTCTCTGCAGAGAGCCTCTCACTGCTCATAGGATCATGACCAATGCCTTTAACTGTCCTATTGGACTCACGGGGTCTGGACCCTCCCTGCACCACCAGCACCAACTCCTTCCTTTGGTTTTTCTCTACCACAAAGCTTTCTCAGCACCAGGCTTCCTTCAGGTGTTCTTCATTCTTTCCTGGTCCCTGGTCTTCTCGTGTTCTGTACCCACCGTCTGAGGTGATCATTCATCTCCCCAACCCACATCTCTTTGTTCAGTTAAACCCACTGGAGTTTGGTCTAAATGTGGCTTCCTCAGGCAAGTGTTCCCTGACCACTGGGATCTGGACAGACCCCTGGAGCTTAGTGCCACTGCACTTACCATAGCTGGAAAGGACACGCTTGTGCAGCTGGTGCCTGTGACACTTGTTTCCCTAATACAATATCACCTGCATGAGTGTAGGTATCACCTTGTTCTCCAGGTGAGAGAGCCTTGGCCATGGAAGGTGTTCATTCAATATCGGTTGAATGAATAGCCATCCAGAAGTTGATAAGCTTTAGACAAGAGCCATAGAGAGAGAAACAGAAACCAGGAGAACCAGCAGGGAAAGATGGGGGAACCCACAGTGTTCTTGCTTAAGTGTCCCTTGATCATCTACACATTCTTTCTTTTCTATACTTTGAGGCAGATGACAAGATAAAGGTCTTGAATGGAGGAAGCAAAGGCACTTACCAATTTCCCACGTGGTGTCCTGCATTTCTTGTCTGTGCTTTAGATACATGGGCCACACGTGGCCATCAAAGTAACCTGGGGGGTCTGGAGGCTCGTAGGCCCGTGTACTATCAAAACATGTAGGAAACTTTATGTTGACAGAAACACACAATCAATAAAATAAAATAGTAATGGTCAGGATAATGGGAAAATCACTCAGCGATTCAATCTGAACAGGATTAACACTGTGTTCTCTAACTCAATGGCAGTTAGAAAGACAATAAAATGAATTTAGTCCTCTGATCCTAAAATTAACTTAGTAATTCAATATCATTCAAAATTCTCTCCTCCCCGGTGCTTTATAAAAGAATTAAGAAGCCGGAAGCAGTGGCTCACACCTATATTCCCAGCATTTTGGGACATGGAGGCGAGTGGATTGCCTTAGTCCAGGGGCTTGAGATCAGACTAGGCAACTTGGCGAGACCTCATCTCTACAAAAATTAGCCAGGCATGGTGGTACACGCCTGTGGTTCCAGCTACTTGGAAGTCTGAGGAGGAAGGATCACCTGAGCCCAGCAGGTTGAGGCTGCAGTGGCCGTTAACGTGCCACTGCACTCTAGCATGGGTGACAGAGCGAGGCTCCTACTCAAAAAAAAAAAAAAAAAAAAGAAAAAGAAAAGAAAAGAAAAAAAGGAAAAAAAAGGATTGAGAGAAAAATAGTTTAAGTAATGATAAAAATACTCATATGCTGGATTAAGCTTTAAACTCATTAGTGTTCTTTATAGCTTGAGTGGAATCCAGGTTCATTAACTTAAATTCATAATCAGCATGGGATTGCTTTATCTCAAGATTTAGAAGAAATGAGCCTGATATGAGAAACGAGCTTGATATGAGCCCCATTTCTTAGAGGAATAATTTACATTACTCCATGTGGGTGACCATTTATGAAAAAAGGTTTTTTTTCCTTGTGTAAAAGAGTTAAAGCTTCCCTTGGTTGAAAAATGACCTATACGTATTGCTCAGTAATGTTGTTTTCCTCATTCTTCCAAAATTCTGTCTTTTGAATTACAATCCACAAACATGATTTCAAAACTCACCTCCTCCTCCTCTTACATTCTTCATATGGAATGGTCAGAAAATAGCTTCTGTTCCAGATAGGGTCAAGGGGCCTAAAATAACAGCACATTTAGTTCATAAGGCTTTTTCTCCCATTCATTATTAAAATAATAAAGTCAACATTAGAGTAGTAATGCTTACTTATAATTAAAGAGAAGAAAGCCTTCGATGATTAAAATGGGAATTTCCTCAGCATTTTTCCAGTTTGTTGATACCAAAGAGTGTCTCGGGCTCTCCATCCAGCAGGAAATGGCTGACATCATTTTTTCCATGTTAAGTGCTTCTAGCACTTCAAACAAACACATGAAAATATGGAAACAATATAACAAAAAACTTTGTGATTACAGGGCTCTGTAAATGTATAAAATAACACCATTTTGTTTTTTTTCAAAAACACCTACTAACAAACACTGTTTTTTTTTGAGTCACCCAGGTTAGAGTACAGTGGCACAATCATGGCTTACCACTGCCAATACTTCCTGGGCTCAGATGACCCTTTTGCCTCAGTCTCCCAAGTAGCTGGAACTACAGGAGTGTGCTACCATACCCAGCTAATTTTTTTTTTTTTTTTGGAGATGAGGTTTCGCTATGATGTCCAGGCTGGTCTTCAACTCTTGGACACAAGCAATCCTTTCACTCCAGCCTCCCAAAGTGCTGTGATTATAGGTATGAGCCACTGCGCCTAGCCAAACATTTTTGTTGACAAATTTACACTGTAATGTTAATCCACTGGAATGTCTGAAACATTTTTATTATAGAAAATTTCAGACATATACAAAAGAGGAGAGTAAGGCACAATGAACTCCAATATCCTTTATTATGTTTGACAATCATAAATTCATGGTTAACCTTGTTTTATTTATAACTTCCACTCTCTGACTACACAAAAACTTAAAAATTCTGGAGGACAAAGTATCTTGAAATGCCAGGTGCGGTGGCTCATGCCTATAATCTCAGCACTTTGGGAGGCAGGGGGTTTTGAGACCAGCCTGGGCAACTTGGCAAGACCTTGTCTCTACAATAAATAAAAAAAATTAGCCAGGAGTGGTGGTGCCTGCCTGTGGTACCAGCTACTTTGAAGACTGAGATGGAAGGGCCACCTGAGCCCAGCAGGTAGAGGCTGCAGTGACCTTGAGTGTGCCACTGCACTCACACTCCAGCCTGAGTGATAGAGTGAGACTTCTACTCAAAAAAAAAACCAAAAAAAAAAAACCCTTTTGTTATTGATTTCTAAGTCAGTTCACTACCGCTTTTTTCCCTTTATTTTGTTTTAAAGATGTAGGGTACAAGTCAGGATTATGTACACAAGTGGTTTACATAAAGGTGAAGTTTGGGCCCCCCACTGGTCCTCAATTCCCCATTTTAGGATCAGGTACCCTTAGTGATGTTATATAGTCCTCCCTCCCCTGGCAGTGTCCTGCTACTGCCAATCCCTCCCTTGTAGTATTGTGATAAATATTCAGGACCCACGTAGGAGTGAGAACATGTGGTATTCAGTTGTTTCTTTTTTCTTTTTTTTGAGACAAAGTCTTACTGTCACCTAGGCTGGAGTGCAGTGGCATGCTCACAGCCACCGCAACCTCAACCTGCTGGGCTCAGGTGACCCTTCCACCTCAACCTTCCAAGTAACTGAAACTACAGATGCACACCACCATGCCCAGTGAATTTTTTGCTTTATTGTAGAGATGAGGTCTCGCCAAGTTGCCTGGGCTGGTCTTGAATCCCAGGATTCAGGCAATCCACCCATCTCAGTCTCCCAAAGAGCTGGGATTATAGGCATGAGCCACTGCGCCTGGCTCAGTTCTTTGTTTCTGTGATAGATCACTAAGTATGATAGACTTTAAATCCATATAAGTTGCTGAGAAGTCCATAATTTTGTCCTTTATGGCTGTGTAATATTCCATTGTGTATATGTACCACTTTTTTTTTTCAATTGGTTCACTTTGTCACCCAGGCTGGAGTGCAGTGGTATGCTCATGGCCAACGCAGCCTCGACTTGCTCGGCTCAGGAGATCCTTCCACTTTAGCCACACAAGTAGCTGGAACTACAGGCATGTGCCACCATGACCAGCTCACCTCTTGATTTATTGTAGAGATGAGGTCTCGCCATATTGCCCAGGCTGATCTTGAACCCCTGGGCTCAGGCAATCTTCTTGCCTCCACCTCCTAAAGTGCTGGGATTATACACGTGAGACACTGCACCCAGCCTATACCATATTTTTTTAATTCAGTTCACTTTTGATGGGCAGCATGGTTGGTACCATATTTGCTATGGTTACTATATTTTTTTTTGTTTTTTAAATTTTATTTTAAAGATGTAGGGTAAAGCTGGGCTCGGTGGCTCAGCCTGTAATCCCGCACCTTTGGGAGGCTGAAGCGAGTGGATTGCCTGAGCCCGCGGGTTCGAGACCCGCCTGGGCAGCGAGACCTCATCTCTACAATAAATCAAAAAATCAGCCAGGCACGGTAGCGCATGCCTGTAATTCCGGCTATTTGGAAGGCTGAGGCAGAAGGATCACCAGAGCCAGCAGGTCAAGGCTGCGGTGGCCGGGAGTGGCTGCTGCACTCCAGTCTGGGCAACAGAGGGAGACTCCAACTCAAAAAAAAAAAAAAAAAAAAAAAAAAAAGATGTAGGGTAAAATTTAGTATTAGGCAGATCAGCCTGGGCAACTTCGGGAGACCTTATCTCTACAATAAATAAAAAATTAGCCGGGTGTGATGTCACATGTCTATAGTTTCAGCTACTTGGAAGGCTGAGGCGGAAGAATCGCCTGAGCCCAGCAGGTCGAGGCTGTGGCAGCTGTGAGCATGCCACTATACTCCAGCCTGGGCAACAGAGTGAGACTCCAACTCGGAAAAATAAAAAATTAAAAAAAAAAAAACAGTCTGACAATTCTTGGAGTATTTTAGTTTCATTCACTTAACGTAGCTACTGATATATTTAAATCTACTGCCTTACTATTTTTTTTTCTTATTTTTGAGTTGGGGTCTCGCTGTCACCAAGGTTGGAGTGCAATGCCATGATCATGGCTCACTGCAGCTTTCACCTCTTGGGCTCGGGCGACCCTTTTGCCTTAGCTTCCTAAGTAGATGGGACTACAAATGTGCACAACCACACTTGGCTAATTTTTAAATATCTTTGCAGAAACGAAGTCTGACTATGTTGCCCAGGCTGAAATTGAATTCCTGGGCTCAAGCAACTCACCTGCCGTGGTTTCCCAAAGTGCTGGGGTTATAGGCATGGGCCACCACGCCTAGCCTATTTCCTATGTCTACCATTGTTTGATTTTTTTTCTCTATTTTTGACTTCTTTTATATTTATCAGCTATATTGCAATGCTTCTATTTCCTCTACAAGTTTGATAGTTATATATTGTGTATATATATATATATATATATATATATATATATATATATTTTTTTTTTTTTTTTTTTTTTTTTAGGGATGAGCTATCACTCTGTCACCCAAGCTGGAGTACAGTGGCACAACCCTAGGTCATGGCAACTTCGAACTCCTGGGCTCAAGCAATCCTTCCACCTCAGTCTCCCCAATAGCTGGGACTACAGGCATGTTCTACCAAACTCAGCTAATTTTTTATTTTTTTTGTAGAGACAGGGTCTCTACAGGTCTGGGTGCCCAACCTGATAGTTATACATTTGAAAACAATAAAACAATTTATTATTATTTTTGAGTCGGAGTCTCACTCTGTTGCCAAGGCTGGAGTGCAGTGGCAAGCTCATGGCCACCACAGCCTCGACCTGCTGGGCTCAGATGATCCTTCCACCTCAGTCCTCCAAGTAGCTGGAACTACAGGTGTGCACCACCATGCCTGGCTAATTTTTTTATTTATTGTAGACATGAGGTCTTTCCCAGGCTGGTCTCAAAACTGCTGGGCTCAGGCGATCCTCTCACCTCCGCCTCCCAAAGTGCTGGGATTACAGGTGTGAGGTACTGCACCTGGCCTGAAAACAATTATTTTAGTGGTTATAAATATTTTTTTTTTGAGTTGGAGTCTCACTCTGTCGCCCAGACTGGAGTGCAGTAGCACGCTCCTGGTCACCACAGCCTCGACCTGCTGGGCTCCAGCGATCCTTCCGCCTCAGCCTTCCAAGTAATGGGAACTACAGGCGGGCACTACGATGCTCGGCTAATTTTTTTTTTTTAATTTTAGAGATGAGGTCTCGCCAAGTTGTGCAGGCAGGTCTTGAAGCTGTGGGCTCAGGCAATCCACTCACCTCAGCCTCCCAAAGCGCTGGGATTACAGGTTGAACCACCAAGCCCGGTGGTTATAAATATTTCAATATCTCCTTGGCTTGCCTTAAATGCACACATTTACCTGTAAAGTTCAAATTTTTCGATAAGATAGATTCCCAGATATGGGATATTTGAACTCATAGCATGAATATTTTAAGGTCTTTGGGACATGTACCCAATCTTCTTTGCAGAAAGACTGTACCAATTTATACTTCCATCTAATGTTTATGAGAGTTTTTGCTTTATTGAGCCCATGCCATAATTAGAAAATTATCATGGCTTTAAAGCAAACCTTTGTTTACCTGATAAGTGGGAATGAAAAGGAATTTACAATTCTTTGAGGTTGGTTTTTTATTGTATGTTTATTAATCAAATAAATTGCTGCTTCTGTAAACAGCTTATTCATATCCTTCGACTGTTTTCTTTTTTTTTTTTTTT